CTCTCTCTCTCTCTCTCGCTCTCTCTCTCTCTCTCGCTCTCTCTCTCTCTCTCTCTCGCTCTCTCTCTCGCTCTCTCGCGCTCTCTCTCTCGTTCTCTCTCTCTCGCTCTCTCTCTCTCACTCTCTCGCGCTCTCTCTCTCGCTCTCTCTCTCTCTCGGAAAACTTGAAATCGCATCATATGACCCCTTTAACCATGGTATTTGTAGTAAAACTGTGGTTATACAAAAAAACATGGTTACTACACTTTTACTGTAACGAAACCATGGTTAGACTAATTTCCCTATTTTCCTACTGCCTTATGATTTGATGTTTTGTACTGTTTAATTAAAAAAGATTCGCGCTCTGTGCTCCGAAGGTCCGATCTGAATCAAAAGATTCATGAACCCCGCTCCGAAGTTCGGATCTTATTCAAATGATTTGCGCTCCACACTCCGAAGTTCTGATCTGAATCAAATGATTCATGATCTGCGCTCCGAAGTCCCGATCTGAATAATGATTTGCGAACCATCATTTCAGATCGGGACTTCAGAGCGCGAAATGATTCGAGAACCCACTCCGAAGGTCCGATCTAATGCAAATGATTTGCGATCTGTGCTATGAAGTCCCGATTCGCGAACCATCATTTCAGATCAGGACTTCAGAGCACGAAAGCGAAATAATTAGAAAACCCACTCCGAAGTTCCGATCTAAATCAAATGATTCACGAACCCGCTCCGAAGTCCCTAAATCAAATGATTAGCAATACGATTGGAGCGCTTCATATCACTAAATGATTTTGCGGCACAATGGTTTAACTGATTTAGAGTTATTTCACCCATCACTATATATATTATAGTTTATTTATTTAAATAAGCAAATTTAGTTGACTAACTTGCAACTAAATTTGTTTATTTAAATGTAGCTAAAATAAATTGTTTGCAACCACTTACCTAGGGATCTTATCTATGCACAATCAGCTTGTAACACTCCAAAGAGAAAGGAAAACTTGAAATCGCATCATATGACCCCTTTAAAGAATACATAAAGGATCTGCAGTTTATGCAAGTTCATTTTCGTTTGCAATGTTAATGAGGTTATTATTAATGTGATGTGCAAATGCCTCTTTTTGTTATTATGGGATTAAATAAAACATTTAAAAAGTATTTTTAATTAAGCATCCAATACAAGGTATCAGTACAGCAAGACAAATTGCATTTTTGCATTAAAAATAATAATTTACATACAATGTATTTGCTATTTCTACTCTAAATTTACAAAACAAATGGGTAACACTTTATTTTAAGGTATCCTTGTTACACGTTACATGTACTTACTATTATAACAATAAATGATGCATAATTGCATGCAAGTAACCCTAAACCAAATCCTAACCATAAGTACTAGTGCTGTCAAACGATTAATCGCATACAAAATAAAAGTTTTTCTTTACATAATATATGTATGTGTACTGTGTATATTTATTTATATATAAATACACACACAAAAAATATTTACATGTATATATTTATATTCTTGTATTTTATACTATATATAAATATATTGAACATATAAACATAACATCTTTTTCTTAAATATATACATGCATGTGTGTGTAGTTTATTTATTTAAATAAGCAAATTTAGTTGACTAAACTTTCAAAAAAATGTTTTATTTAAATGTAGCTAAAATAAATTGTTTGCAACCACTTACCTTAAAAAAAATGTAGTATAATTTTTTTCAGTGTACTGCTGGTTTAGCTCGCTAATTTTATGACATTAACTGAAATAAGCGAGAAAAGTATGATGTTTACAAATAAAATATTAATATTCCCATTCCAAAGATAACATCCAACACAAAATTACGAACATATTCAGGTGAAGTATCAGGTTTTCATGCTAACTAGGGAAAACACAAAAAATATGAGGAGCTGCACCTCAGAATACATGTTAGATGGAAACAACTGTGCATTAGTTTGAAGCTTAATTCACTATATTTTGAATAGTTTGACCCCTGCAATTCAGTTGGTGACCGTTCAAGAGGAAATCAGTTGAAAGCATCCAGTCACCTCATACATTGAAGTGAATGTTCAGTTTATCAGTATGTATTGTTATAAATATATGAGAAATCGTTGTATCTTATTTTATTAGTCTAGAGTGATAGTCAATGTGAAAAGAGCAAATGGGAGAAGCAGTTGAACACAAAACAGTGCAACAACATAAAGTTAGCAATCTACTTTAACTTCTCTGGTGATATCAATGGTATTACCTATATGGCAGAAATTACAACAACAGCGGTTACATATACATATGTAATTGTTTGATCAAAATTATTGTTAAGGGCAATTTAGTAGTCGCTGGTTATTGGCAGGGGGACATGGTAGGGACAAATTCTATGTCATTGGCTAAATGGATAAGAAATCAGGAATAGGTTCCCAAGGTTGGGAACTCTTGGAAAGCTGAACCTTTATTTTAATACAGTTTTTTTTTATGGTTTTAGTTTTAGCCAACAGCTCTCCATTGCAAAAAAAAAAAAAAAAACTTAACTAGAATATGAAAATAACCTTTACTGTTTAAAACTTTATGCTATGATTTAAGAACTTTGTAAGGCCTTTGTGGATTATGCATTATGTATGTATAGTATAACATACATTTTTTTCTTGCATTTTTTTTTTCATTCAGTTTTTTCATAAATGCTGCTTGCTTGATGTAGATTAGCAGTTTAGGACCAAAACAGTCCTTCATAGTGGATGCGTTTCATTGTAGAGGCCATTTTAGAGCCGTGAGCTAAAGGCCGTTGTGATATTTTAATTTGGCTGCAAAACTTGAATCATCCAGGTATGACCATCTTGAGTAAGAGAGAGAGAGAGAGCAGTGTACCATGAAGAAGCTCTGTCTCATACAAACCCCCATTCAGACAAAAGTACTTCTTGTTCTGCGGTCAAATGGGTCATGGCAGGTGCTGTAGAAACGGTCTGAGGCAGTGGGGAAATCCTCAGGAATGAAACCAGAGAGCAAACAGGAAAACTTCACACTGTTTCAGTTTTGTTCTGACCTCTAATGTAACTGTTCAAAGCTGGGCTTGGACGAAACGTCACCAGTCAGTTGAGAGTCAAGGTGAGATATGGACAGTCTCATTTTCACTTGATACTCTGATATGTTTCATGCTCATTGTTTAACAGCTTGCATCAATGACTAAGACATTTCACAAAAAGAACTGCAAAAAGTTCTCAGATAGTTTCAGTCCAACTTTTATTCTAGATAATAAAATTTGTTGTGTTATTAGATGCTCTCTGGAATGCCACTTAACAGTGTAAATCACACAGACAACTGGTTTTCTACATTATAGACCTTAGGGTATCGGCATATTTAATTTTTGACAGAAATTAAAATGAGGCTGTGAGTGATAGAAATAAATGTGTTCAATGGATTGTATTGTTGTTTAACAACATACCGATTGTTCAGTTGACGAAACTTTCTTTAAAAAAAAACAAAACTTCAGTATACAAAAACACTCTTTATAAAGTGTGTGCTATAGACTGTAGACTGTCTCGTTTTCATGCACATTTAATATGCTGTCTAATCTGACTAGGTCTAGTTGTCTAAGTACTATAAGTCTATTAATCAAAAGTTTGGGGTCGGTATACGATTTTTAAATGTTTTTGAAAGAAGTGTCTTATGCTCACCAAGGCTGCATTTATTTGATCAAAAATACAATAAAAACAGTAATATTGTGAAATATTATTACAATTTCAAATAACTGTTTTCTATTTATATATATATATATATATATTGTAAAATGTAATTTAAACCTGAATTTTCAGCATCATTCGAAATCATTCGAATATGCTGATTTGCCGCTCAAGAAACGTTTCATATTATTATTACTGTACTATTAATGTTAATTTTATTTTTATTTTTTTCAGGATTCTTTTATGAATAAAAAGTTCAAAAGAATTTATTTGAAATGGAAATGGAAATACTGTAGTGTATGTAAGAAATAATTGTAGTGACTTTCAGGTCTCAGCTCTTGGTGTTTAAAATTTAATTCAGTGAAAGGAAAAACAGCAGCCCACCACAATTTTTCTCATCATGTGAGAAATATCAGTCTAACATCTCTTTCCATGTGTTATTTAAATTATCTGCGACCATACCTGCGATTCCCTCAGAACTGATGAGAGCATGAATCATCGAGTTCCGGCATGAACGAATTTCCCAGCAAAAATCACACATCATTCCCTGAAGGACAATCCACCCCAAAAAAAATGAAGATTGTGTCATTATTTACTCACTTACTTTGTCATTCCAGACCTGTATGTGTTTCTTTCTTCTGTGGAAGACAAAAGAAGATATTTTGAAGAAAGCTGGTAATCAAACCGTTCTGGGTCCTGTTGACTTCCATATTATTTTTTGTCCATAATATGGAAGTCAATGGGAGCCGAAATGCTCTTCAAAATATCTTCTTTTGTCTTCCACAGAAGAAAGAATGATGACAGAATTTTAATTTTTGGGTAGACCAAGTAATTTAAAACTTTAGCATTTTTTGCTTTAAACATTTTTTTGTGCTTGTTTGGGTCATGAGGATCGTAAGCACCTTTAAATACTGTAAATAGATGTTTCTACGTAAAATGTCCCTATGACCCAAAGGCTTGTGCGTTCAGTCCTGCTGCAGAGCTGCAGCAACCTGTTTTGTGTGTTTGTTTGCTCTGGGCTTATCAGACAGCACAGTCTCTGCAGTCGTCTGATGTTGCATGGGCCAACTGTTAATCATCACACCAGAGCTTCTGCACAAGCTCCTCACAGTCAGGAAAACACATTTTGTGATGATCTACATGGCAGCCGCATGTGCAGAAACGCCTGCGCATTTCACCAGAATCTGAAACCCATCAATCACAAAATCCTACACATGGTTGAAGCCATGGCTCATTGGTACGGTAATGCATGTGCTTGCAAATTTGTAGGGAATGCAGGTTTGAATCTGATGTGCATATTTCCTAATACTCCCAAAGGAAGATTTATTGCAGATTTATTGCTCAGAGGTTGCCCTTTTTTAGCTCACGAGACTTGTACATTATTTTCTTAAAAATATTATTTTTGACAGAAGAAGCATTTTACACATGCAGGAAATCTTTTCTCCTTATACTGGCATATTGTTAGCATTGAATAAAAGGAAAAACAAAATGTAAACTTAAGAAGAGTAGAAAGATGCATTTACGATCCCAGATGTGTATATGAATTCAATTCATATAAATAAAAGGTATATTATATTTATATTTAATATATTTATAATATACCTAAATTATTTTCATTTATATTATACATTAAATTAAATTAAAAATAAATAAATATAGAGCTGTTAATACAGTATATCATTAATAATTATATACTTATAATAATTAACTTGAATTTTTCTCTGAAACTAAGCATCTTATAGGAAACACTTGTTTTTTATTAGGGTCTTTTTATTTCAGGACAAATATCTGAGAAGCAGGACACCACATTTGTATATCAAAGTCATATTTGTATGTTTATGTGTTTTATCTAGGATGATAATGGTTATGAATGAGCAATACTGGTCCTAGTAGAATGAAATGCTTGTAAACAGTAGCTGTGGTGACTGCTCAGCGCATGCAGGTCTTTGTGGCATTGGTCACTTACCACGGACATGGTTACATCTCTGGGAACATGCTGACACTGGTCTCTCTCTCTCTCTCTCTCTCTCTCTCTCTGTGTGTGTGTGTGTGTGTGTGTGTGGAGAGAGAGAGAGCTGATCATGGCACCGAGATGAAGTCCCACGTTTACTTTAGCAGTGAGGAATTGATGACTTTGGACTATTGATCTCATTCATGGTTCTGTTATTTTCATCAGCTCTGTCATGATTTATGTGTTTGCGCACAGGCATGTATTGTAAGGTTCACAAAATCTTACATTACTTCTATAAGTATACACTTCGTCTGGGTTTCTGTCCTACAGGAAATCCAGGGATGAGCATCTTCAGCTGGTGTCGGGTGGCCGCTGTGGTAGCTCTGATCTTGATCATACTGGGAGGGCTGGGAGCCGCCATCTGGGCCCTTGGTGAGACTTTCTGCTTGCTGATTTAATGGAATACTGCAGCCACTTCAGAGACACTTTACACTTGATTTCTGTGTTTGTTTTTCAGTCACATATCTCAAAACAACAGAAGATACTGGATTATTTGATGGTAAGCATTGTTCATTTGTAATCATATATATATATATATATATAAGTGAGATTATTAATTGTAAATAATCATGTATAAACATTAACTGCATTGTGTGTGCAATTGTAATATAATAATCCATTACATATTTTGACATCTGTTGTCGCTAAACCTAACGCCAACACAAAACTGTTGGTATGAAGAGAATCGAAGAAAAACATATGGCTGATTTAA